TATATATTTCACAAATACCATATATATAAAATATATAAAAAATGCTATGTAGGTACTTAAATGAAAGCTCTTGGTGAGTGGAACATCAAGATGAGCTTATATCTTTAAAAACGTCAATATTTAAGAAAGTACAGTGCAATTTAACAAAAATCATTATTCAATAAAGCAAAATTTAATTAAATTAAAAAATTAATTTTTTTTTAATTATAAACGATTTTATTTCTTCTTTTTAAGAACAGCGATAAATAGTCAATAAAGTGTTAGAAGCATAATTATAAATCATAAACTACAATAGTAAACTGATATATTCTTATAATATTAATTTCATAAAAATTAATTAGAGCAAGAAATACTAAATAGCACATTTTTTCAAAAGATCTGACACATCTTGAGCTCTTTGTTTTTTTTTTTTTTTTTACTTGCTTAGGGTTCTTCACAGCCTCTAGTTTATGAAGTAAGCTTTATTACAACCTAAAAATATAACTTGCAATAGATTCTTCTCTCTAAAAAAATATATGTGAGAATTTTTGAATTATATCATTGCCTTTTATAAAATTTATAACAAAAAAATATTTTTAAAAAATTGCACTTATAGTTTTTCAAATTTTTTATAATTAAAAATTTTTTTTTCTATTTTTTTGTCAATTTTTTTAATAAAAAAAATTTTTCAAATTTTTAATTAGCTAACTTAATTTTCATAAAAATTTTTAGGCTTAAAAATATATCAGAGTTAAAAAATTAAATTAAAAAAATAATTATCATATTTTTTATTTAAAAAATTAATTAATTAGTAAATTTTTGCTGAATAAAATACAATAATTAATTTATTTGTGCATTAGAGGAAATCCTCCGAAGCTCTCATGCAATTTGGATGTCAAAAGACGGTCACATGATGTTATACGCATCTTTCAATGACTCTTTAGTAGAAGAAATGCACATTTCATGGTTCGGTGAAGAAAACAAAAATCTCTACCCAGAAACTTGGTCGCTGAGGTACCCTCGACCCGGCACCCCGAATCCCCAAGTAAAACTTCACGTCGCAGATTTAGCTGATCCGAAGAATATAAATATAAAAACAGTTAAACCACCCGCTATTATCGAGCACACGTAAGTTTAAATTCTGTTACAGAATAAGTACTAACATACTAAAGAGAAAAACTTTTAGCGAGCATTATTTTACAACTGCTTCTTGGATTTCGTTAACCGAAGTTTCAATAACTTGGTTGACTCGTGCTCAGAATGTATCAGTAATAACAGTATGCAAGAGCCCTTTGTGGCATTGTCAAGAAATCCAGCGAATAAGCGAAAGTCACGGCTGGGTCGACGTGTCATCACATCCACCGCTGTTCTCATTAAACAGCAGTAGTTATATAACAATTGCTCCTGTTAGAGATGGCCCGGCTGGATTTTTTAAACACATTGTCTGGGTCAATGTTGTTAAGAAGCAAGTTGTTCCTTTAACGCACGGACGACGGGAAGTTGTTAAACTATTATCATGGGACCACGAAAATAATACTATGTAAGTAATTATTTTGCAATAATATGAGTATCATTAATCATAATATTAAAGTTGGTCGACGATTTTAATTTTGTTATTTGGTTAATTTGGAAAATGGTCTATCTGTAGATATATAATGAAGAAATGACCTTGTATCTTGTGAACTATTAACATTTTTAAAGATATAAGCTCACCCTGACATTATACTCATCGAAACCTTTCATTTGAGTACCCACATCATTTTTTCATATATTTATATATATGTATATATGAAAAATATATCAAAAATGCAAGTGGGTACTTCCACTTATATCGTTAAAAATGTTAATATTTAAGAAAGTACAGTGCAATTTAACAAAAGTCATTATTTACACAGTAAAAAATATTGTGTAAAATCAACACAGTTTGTGTGTTAAAAATGGTTGACACAAAATACGTCTTGAAATTTCAACACAAATTTTGTGTAACCCCTTTTTAACACAAAGACTAGTATACGTTGCGCGCGCAAGCGCGCGTGTGAATGTTGGTATGGAGTTATCTATATTTTCATGTTTATGATATATTTGACCAATCACGTTACGAATAGTTTGCTCTTACATGATATATTTTCATATTTTTCATCTAAATTATAAAAGTGGATTATGTTGAAATATCGCCACAAGAGGGCGCAAAGAATCATACACTTCTAAAGTGTCAATCTTTATCTTAACACAAAATAAATGTTAAATAAATTTATTTATTATTTTCATCAACTGTTTGATGCCTATAACATAACTTAGAAAATAATTTTTTTTTATTTCCTCAACTGCAGTAAATAATATTTATTTAAAAATGTTTTTTTTTTTTATTTACATTTTAACGAAACATCAACAATTTTTAATAATTAAATCAAAAAATAATTTATAGGTTTTAAAAGTGAAGCAGTAGAGTTATAAATTTATGAAAATGAAGTTAACCGATATTAAAACTTTTTAGAAATTTTTTATTAGAAAAAATTTCAATTTAACAATTAAAAAAAAAAAAAAAATGTCACATCTAAAAAACTTTAAAAACTAGAAGTGCAATTTTTTAGAAATATCTTTTTAGTTGTAATTTATTTAATAAAAAAAATTAAAAATTTTTAGATGTCTGCTAACTTCAGTGTCATATAAATTTAATTGTCTTTATTATTTAATATTTATTATATTTTCGTGAAAATGTTTGCTGCGTAAAGTGAAGAATCGACGGGCTGTCAACACAAAGTTGATGTTATATTAATGGAGAATTTGACACAAACTGTGTGTTTATTCCCCAGTAACATACAAAATATTTTAATAAAGAGTATATAACACATTTTTTATGTTACAAAATAAAATGACACAAGCTTTGTGTTATTTTAACACACTGCAATTTTTAACACAAACCATTTTCGACACAAATACACAATATTTTTTACTGTGTAATAACACATAATTTATAATTACATAAATATAAACAAATCATCCTATCAGTGTATATCATTAATCATAATACTAAAGTTAGCTGACGTTTTTAACTTTAGTCTGCTTCATTTATTAAATTAGAACTAAAAAATATTTTTTTTCAAATTGCACTTACAGTTTTTCAAATTATTTATAAATTTCTTTTTTTTTTTTAATAAAAAACATTTTTAATAAGTAATTTTTTTCTTTTTATGATCAATTATAAAATTTCTTCTTATCTTAAAAAATAAATGACTATTTTGAGACGTGCATGTTTAGATTTTCTAAAATTTTTTATTAATGAATTTTATGACATCACATTGATCTAAAATTATCTTGTTTCAATTTAATAATCATTACCTAAAGTTTCAACTGTTATAAAAATTTTATTTTACTTAATAATTTATAAAGGTCATTTATAAATAAAATAAAATTAAAATTTTCATAAAAAACTTTTCATTATTTTTTATTAAAGTCAAATATAGTTTTACTTAATGATTCTAAAATTATTTATTTATTTATTTAGCGGACGTTCAAAATTTTTTTTATTAATTGAATTAAAATTAAAAAAATATTTTTAAAAAATTATAAGACGGTTAATTAAATTTTCATTTTTATGGATAAATACAAAAGTTTTATTTAATTATTTTTCAGATACTTTTTGGGAATACCAGCAGGGCGACCAGGACAACGTCACTTGTATAAAGTTAGTTCAGTTCTTCCAGAAGTTGGATCATCTCTCTACCCAGCTTTCTGTATAACATGCCCTGTCTCGATGATCAGAGGAAACTATATGTATGCCTTGGATAATGAAAATCACATTCATTCGGGAATGTTGAGTGTTTCGTCAGGTTGGTCTGAAGAAAAAGAGAGACATCAGCAGTTTGATGAAAAAGAAGAGGGGAATAAAAAAAATTCGAATACTCATGAAGTACCGGGTACTTATAAAAGCACAAATAAATCTAAAAAAAGCAATATAAGTAAGTATAAAAAAAATTTAGTTACAAAATATTTTTTAACAAATTTTTTATAATTAAATTTAATTTCTTTTAAAAAATTAATTTTTTTAAAAATTCTTAAAATTTTCAATATAAAAATTAAAATAATTAAAAAATATATTCCTAATTCAGTGTTTGTCACTTCCGTATGAACATTGATAGTCACATAAAAACAATTACCTGATGAACAATCTCGCGTGACTCATTTTGTGCACATGCTACAATTATTTTACAATGGGTAGAATGGTTGCTCATTTATATGAATAAAAGAAAGAAAAAAAAACGAGAAACGTGCTTATATATTGATCGTAAATAAAAAGGATCAATAGAGTATGAATTGTAATGTAGCCAACTGTTTTTCCATTAAATATTAAATGTTAAATAAATTTAAAATTTTTTTTATAATATTTCTTTTATAAAGGAATATAAATAATTTAATAAAATAATAGATAATTTAGTCTATCAATTACGAGGTCGTAAAAAAATGTCTAAATAAAGAAAAATTTTCATTTTTTTAAATGTGTGTTCATTTATGGGCATGTATGATTTTTTATAAATTTCACACAAATAAAAAAATCCAAAAAAACGTATAAAAAATTTTTTTTTTCTTCAATTTGGGAATGTACAAAAGTAAAAATTTGGTTGAAAAACGCAAAAAAAATTTTTTTCGCCGTACGTTCTTTTGATTTTTGTTAAATTGCACTGTACTTTCTTAACTACTGACTTTTTAAAAGATATAAGCTCATCTTGATATTACACTCATCAAGAGCTTTCATTTGAGTACCCACATGCATATTTGATATATTTTTCATATATTTATATACATAATATATATAAATATATGAAATATATGAAAAAATGATGTGGGTACTCAAATGAAAGGTCTCGACGATTGTAACATGGGGATGACCTTATATCTTTAAAAATATCAATAGTTCACGAGATACACGGTAATTTCTTAATTATGTTAAATTGCACTGTACTTTCTTAACTACTGACATTTTTAAAGATATAAGCTCATCCCGCTGTTACACTCATCAAAAGCTTTCATTTGAGTACCCACATACATTTTGATATATTTTTTATATTTTCATATAGTTACACTCATCAAAAGCTTTCATTTGAGTACCCACATACATTTTGATATATTTTTTATATTTTCATATATATAAATATATAAAATATATGAAAAATTGATGTGGGTACTCAAATGAAAGGTCTCGATGAGTGTATCATCGGGATGAGCTTATATCTTTAAAAATGTCAATAGTTCTCAAGATACAATGTCATTTCTTAATTAAGATAATAAAAATTTTTCTTATTATTAATAAATAATATAGATAATTTTTTAATTTTAGTTTACATTATTTCTATAAAAAATTAATAAAAAATTTGTTTTAGAAACTGAAGAATCGTGCCAATATCACAATGCAATTTTTTCACCTGGAAATGAATACTTCGTCTTAGAATGTTTAGGCCCTGGTGTTCCAACGTCATCGCTCTATAAAATAGAAGCACCTGTACCACGGTTCATTAGTCTTCTTCAGAATAATACACTGTTACGGGTAAGATACAACTAAAAAATTAATTAATCATCCTTCTCTTTATTTTAAATAAATAAATAAATAAATTACAATTTTTTTTTTCCAGGAAAGAATAGCAAAAATAGCTCTCCCACAAATAAAAACATTCCCGGTACAAATAAGTGGTGGATATAACGCACAAGTCCGACTTTATTTACCTCCAGGACTTAGAGAAGAAGAAATAACTCGCTATCCAATGGTTGTTCAAGTGTAAGTATTTTTTTCTTTTCTAAAAATGACAATAATTTATTATGATTGTGATTTGATTAATATCTGTTTTTATGGGTATAGATACGGAGGACCTGGCTCTCAATTGGTAACAGACATGTTCAAAATAGATTGGAACACTTTTCTAGCGAGCAAAAAAAATATGATCGTGGCACAAATTGACGGCAGAGGAAGTGGCGGTCAAGGATATAAAATGCTCTATGAAGTTTATTACAGACTCGGTACTGTTGAAATTGCTGATCAGTTGGAAGTAACAGAGTATTTAAGAGATTCATTGCACTTTGTGGACAAACGCCGGGTTGCTGTTTGGGGGTGGAGCTATGGCGGCTTTGTGTCCGCTCTTGCCTTAGCAGAACCTGAACAAAATGTTTTTCAGTGTGGAATTAGTGTGGCTCCTATTGTATCATGGAAGCTTTACAGTGAGTAGAATTTTTTTTTATTTAATTTGGTAATTTTTTGATAAAAAATTTAAACAGTACTTTACTTTTTTTCTTTAAATCTGGAAGATCAATTAAAATAGATACTTATTATAAGGATTAACATTGTTGCCGCAATTTTAAAATAAATGGTTCAAATTTTTTATTATTACGGCTTGAATATTGGTCCTATAAAAAATTTTTTAAGTAAAAGTTGTTTAAAATTTAATTTTATAAAGAAAATTTTTTTTATGATTTCTTAACTACATTTTTCCTATAATTCCAAAATTAAAATTCATAATCAAAGGTTCAAATTTTGTATTATTAATATTATTAAGAGAATAAGAAAAATTTTGTGTCCAGGATAGTCATATGATAAAATTTGAATTATTGCCTTTTCAAGGTTTCATATCATTCTCACCGATAGTCAATTTATTATAAGTATTTAGGCTTCATTCGAAAATGCTCTATCTTTAAATACATAATTAAGGAATGACCTTGGATCTTGTGAACTATTGACATTTTTAAAGATATAATCTCATCCCGGCGTTACACTCATCAAGACCTTTTATTTAAGTACCTACATGAATTTTTCATATATTTATATATATTATATATATGAATATATGAAAAATATATGAAAATGCATGTGGTTACTCAAATGAAAGCTCTCGATGAGTGTAACATCAGAATAAGCTTATATCTTTAAAAATGTCAATATTTAAGAAATTATGTTGTATTTTGTCAATTTATGATATTTTTAAAGATATAAACTCATCTCGATGTTACACTCATCGAGAGCTTTCATTTGAGTACCCACATCAATTTTTCATATATTTCATATATTTATATATTTCACAAATACCATATATATATATAAAATATATAAAAAATGCCATGTGGGTACTCAAATGAAAGCTCTTGATGATTGTAACATCAAAATGAGTTTATATCTTGAAAATTGTCAATAATAAAGAATTGATCTTGTATCTTGTGAAATAATGACATTTTTCAAAATATAAGCTAATCCCGATGTTACACTCATCAAGACCTTTCATTTGAGTACCTACATCAATTTTTATATATATTTCATATATTTATATTATTATTATATATATGTATATATGAAAAATATATCAAAAATGGATGTGGGTACTCAAATGAAAGCTCTTGATGAGTGTAACATCAGGATGAGCTTATATCTTTAAAATCTTCAATAGTTAAGAAAGTACAGTTCAATTTAACATAATTAAGAATTGAACTTATGAAAAGTCTTAATTTTTGGTTTGAAGCAAAAACATTGATTTTTTTTTAAATTATAAGAAACATTTTTTTTTTTCTAAAATTAAATTTTGATAAACTTTTGTTCAAAACATTTTTTTATAGGCTCAATAATTTTCTTTGAAATATAAAAAAATAATTATTTTAAATTTAATAAATTTTCTCAAAAATCCCAGCTTTAATTATTGACAATAATAATAATTGTTCAAAAATTTCTTTTATAGGCCCAATAATTCTTTTTTAATATAAAAAAATAATTATTTAAAATTAAAAAAATTTTCCTAAAAATCTCATTAATTATTATTAATTAATTAATTAATTAATTTATTTATTAATAAAAAAAAATTGTTAAAATTAAATAACATTAATTAGAATTTAATTAAAAAAAAAAAAAAAAAAAAAAACGAGTAAGACTGTGTATTAATTATTAACAATTGCAATAATTATTTAAAGATTCAGCATACGCTGAAAGATACATGGGTTCACCAAATGTAACATCAAACTACAAAGGCTACGCCGAGTCTGACGTTTACAATAAAATAGAATATTTAAGTAAAAAAATGTTCTATTTAATCCAAGGCACAGCAGATGATAACGTGCAATTCCAACAATCAATGACACTATCACGTCACCTAGCTCAAAAGGGAATATTATTTAGACAACAAGTGTATCCAGATGTTGGTCACAATCTCAGTGGTGTCACCGGGCATCTTTATCTTTCAATGGCACAATTTCTCGATGATTGTTTTATTAAGCAAGTACCTGTTGATTCTAAAGCTGGATTAGGAAGCGGTGGAGCTGATATTTAATACCACTCCATTTCTAATTAATCCAGCAACTATTTTTAGAGTATTATTAAATTAGTTATTTAGTCTTTAACAATCGTGATAACAAAAAAAATAAATACTTTTATTAATAGAAAATATTAATAATAATTAATGAATCATTTTAGAGCGTTAAAGATATATCTTATAAAAAAATGCAATCTCTCTCCAAATTGTGTTCGGTTAAATAGAAATATTTACAATAATTATAATTACATATATCACCTCTTTAAATTTTAAATTTCAATCAATGCAATACTTTTATTCATTGCTTGCTCTTTTAATAACAATAATTAAGTAAGTAAATAAATAATTAATAATTATATAACTATATTCTATCTTTCTTATTAAATGTCGCCTGTTGATTAATATATATATATATAAAAGAGCACTTTGTGCTAAATCAACAATATTTATAATAAAAAATTATATTTTAACTTTTTAAATATTTTTTTTATTGTTAAAAAATATTTAAAATTGATGTTTGTTAATTAGAAAAAATTTATATTTTTTTAAATTATAATTGGACAAATTTTTATAATAAATTATTTACGTTTGATTAATAAGGTTTAAAATTATGTAATTATTTCTAAGATAGTATTGGAAGAAATTATATATATATATAATTTTAAATTTTAAATAATGTATATATTTATTATAAATTATAAACAAATAATAAGTTGGGGTAAGAGTAACAAAAAAGAATATTAAATGTTTCTTTCCGTCAGTTATTTGGAACACAAGGGTGTAGATTAAAATTATAAAATTAAGTCTTAAATTATAAAAATAAAAATTTATTAATTAATATTAATTTTGAACATTGTTGTTAATTTTAAGTAATAAAAATCAGAAATTATTTTTTCCTCAATGTACAATTTATGTAACATCTGGTCATATATGAACATATATGTGATAAGTACTAAAAATAGAAAAATATCTATTACTTTATCAGATCTAACTTAATTATTAATTTATTGTGTTAACTATACATTGTAATATATAATATTTAATTTTTGATATTACGGTGATTAGATTGGTCATATAAAAAAATTTTTTTCGACAAAAATTGTTCAAAATTTGATTTTCTTAAAAAAAAAAAATGTCTTATAATTTTCTATTAAGACCAATCGGAGAGCCGTAATTTCAAAATTAAGACTAATAATTACCAAAAAATTGAATTATTTATTATGAATCTTAATTTTTGATATTATAGCAAAAATATTGGTCCTATAAAAAATTTTTTCAAATAAAATTTGTTTGAAACCAATTAGAAATCCGTAATTTAAAACTTAAGATTATAATAATTACCAAAAAATTAGAAAATATTAGTTTTTTTAAAAAATCATAAGAGACATTTTTTTTTGTAGAAGATTAAATTTTCAACAACTTTTGTTTTAAATTTTTTATATCGGACAATATTTCCGCCGTAATTTCAAAATTAATGATCATATATGGTCATATATGAACTTTTTGATTTAGTATATAAAAAAAAAAAAAAAAATTATTAAAAACGAATATCGTTGATTTAGTACAGAACGCTTCACATATATCAAAAGTATATATGTGAAGGCTATAAAAATAAGATTATTATTTTTCTATTTCACAATTTTTAAAACTTGATAAAAATAGTGAATTATACACAAACAAAACTACTTAAAACCTAAAAAAAAAAAAAAAAACAAGCCGCATAATAAATTTAAAAAATTCTACATTTAATATAAATGGAGAGAAAAAAATAGATCCTATTCCTATATCAAATAGTAATTGTGTTTCGCGCAATTATTGTCGCATTTTAGCATCGGCGTAGAACCCTATTTTCAACATTAAATAAAAATTTATTGTTTTTCAAGCTAGAGTTCCAGAAGTCAAGATTTTTTTTCAGAAATTTCCTCCTCTTTACACGGAAAGAACAAGATTATACTGGATATAATCCCAGATTATACGGAGTGAAAAAAAAATTTCAGATAGTAGCTAGTATAATCCAGATAACAATGAGTATAATCTAAATATTATTCAGTATAATCTGGATTATACTAGCTACCATTTGAAATTTTTTTTTTTACCTTAGATGTCACTGAGTATAATCTGAGATGATATCCAGTGTCATCTTGTTCTTTCCGTGTAGGGACCTTTTTCCGATTTTTTATATCATCTATAGTTATTGAGTTATTTACGAAAAACTGAGAGATTTTTTATTTTGTTAATAACAAATTTTTATCAAAAAAATAAAAAAACATTTCAGATTTTAATTCTGCATCGAATAAGTAATTATTAATATTTTTATCACAATTTTTAAGATTTTTATCAGCAAATTAATCCAGAAATCTCACAAAAATTTTCGTTACTATCTAACATAGTAATAGTTACCATTTAACATAGTAATAAGATAAATTTTTTTCTCTCCGTATAAAAATCTAGTACATATTCATAAATCAGCCTTAATGAATTTTTTATTTGAGCATCTGCCGAGGTGTAGAAGCATGTGATTTTTAAGATTGGTTGGCTTGCTAAATCCTCTATTGCAAATATGACACCTGAAGGGCCAGAGTCCATTGTGAACGTACATGTGGCTTTTAAGGTCCCCAGGTGTTGGAAATGATTTCGAGCACTGCGAACATTTGTGCGGTTTTTCCTAAAGAAAAAATAAAAAAAAAAAAATTATAATACTATTTATTATTTTGTGGATATTAAATATTTTGTTGGAAATATTAAATAAATAAATAAAATGATCTAGTGGTTTATAAATTCCTGTGATAAAACTGGTGGGAGATGAGTCGTGTGCAGTGAGAAGCTGCATCACGTAAGTAAAACCTGCTAGTGTAGGTAAAACGCGAAGAAACAGCCTTAGGGTACATACGTACGTTCTCTGTCTCTCTAATTGGATTGCATTCCAAGCGGTAGCAAGTAATGGGCCAATTACAGTAGCTGATGGCAGTTCAACCTATATGGCTCCTTGAGATATCATTACTTCGAGGGATTAGAGAGAAACTCATGGAGTTTCTGTTCCAATAAATTTTTAAAAAAATTATATCATTTGCAATCTTGTGAATTAAATATATCCTACTGGACTTACGCTCGGAAAAACTATTTTTTTTTTCTTTTTAATAATGGGATAAAAAAAAATAAAAAAAAAAACAGTTGTAAAATATTTCTTCCTGTTTACTTGTGATGTAGGAGTAACGGATATTACTCTTAGATGAAGCTTCACCTTGATATGAGTCATCCGGTGGTAGTACAGATTTGATGAGGCCGTGAATTTTTTTCCACATACTAGGCACTGGTGAGGCTTTTCCCCGCTGTGGATTCTTTTGTGGGTGTTTAGGGAACTTGACGTTGAAAATCCTTTATTGCAGACCATGCAAATGTGGGGTTTCTCTCCTGAAATTTGATTTTTTAATTAAAATTCTTAATTAAAAGTTTATATTAAATAATTAGCAATTTTTAAAGAAGAAATTTATTTTAAAGAAAAAATTTATTTTTAACAATTTTATTTCTTAGAAGAAATAAAAAATTTTTTTGTTGATAAATAATGTTTATTTTAGAAGAAATAATTTTAAATTAAAATTGTTCAAAATATTTAAATATTAATTTTTTATTACAAAATTAATTTTGTGAAAAAGTTGAGCAATTTTGAAAGAAGAAATTTATATTAAACAATTTTATTTCTTAGAAGAAATAATTATTTTACAATAATTTTCTTTTTGAAAAAAAGGTTTATAAATTTAGGAAGAAATAATTGTTAAAAATTTTTAAATATTAATTTTTTTTCAATAAATTTCTGTGAAAAAATTATTATTACTTCAAAGAAGAAATAAAATTGTTTAATATATTAGTTTTTTATTATAAAATTGGTGATTTTTTTTTAAAAAGAAATTTTTTCTTCAAAAATTGATTTTTATCTTACACTGAAAAAATTTGTTTTGAAAAAAAATGAACAATTTGGTAAGAAGAAATTAATTTGTTTTAAATTTTAAATAATTTTATTTCTTAGAAGAAATAAAAGATTTTCTTATTGTAAAAAAGTTTCATATATTTGGGAAGAAATAATTTTTAATAACAAAATTACTTTGAAAAAAATTTTGATTTCTTCAGAGAAGAAATAAAATTTTTTAAAATTGTAAAAAAATGAATTTCTTATTCCATAATTACTCATATTTAAAAAAAATAAATTTTTATTACCTAATTTGGTAATATATTCTTCACATATAATTCCTATATGGTCATATATGCTCAATGTATAATTAAAATTGACAATAAATGAAGAATATAAATTTTTACAAATAAAAATAATAATTTTTATGCACTATTAATATTTACTAATTGTTTTACACTCATATATGATCACATATATTTTCTTCAGGTAATTATTATTAGAAAAAAAAAAAAATATGCAACTAAATTTAGTTATTAATTTTTTTAACTTACCTGTATGTGTTCTCATATGTCGCTTGAGTAAAGACGGCCTATCAAAAGATTTTCCACATACTTCACAAGGAAGAAGAACACGTTCTCCTCTTTTTATCGTTGTAACAATACTGCAGTCCAAATGATCACTTGTTAACGATAAAGTAGATGAAGATGATTCTTCAGACGTTGATTCATATTCATCTGGTTCGTAGTATGATGTTCTAACAGGTGATGAATTTTGATGTGAAAGTAATGTTTTTGAAAGATCTAAAGGTGAATCTTAAAAAAAATGTAATAATAATAATAATAATAATAATAATTTTTTTGCACCTATATTATTAAAAAAATAAGCAAAATTTTTCTCACCCTGACATTACTTTTGTCGAGACCTTTAATTTGAGTACCCACATCAATTTTTCATATATTTTATATATTTATATATATCAATATATGAAAAATATATCAAAATGCATGTGGGTACTTAAATGAAAGCTCTTGATGAGCGTAACATCCAGATAAGCTTATATCCTTAAAAATCTCAATAATTAAGAAATTACCTTTTATCTTGAGAACTATTGACATTTTTAA